CATCCCGGATCCCACCTGCTTTTCCTTTTTACTTCCTAAATATATTTTTTTTTTCTCGATGCTTTGCATGCTGTGCTGCTTCTCTTTCTCTCCCTTCCCCTCATTTTTCTTCAAATCATATAGAAGAATTAGAATGCCAATAAAAGAAGATGCTAAAACGTTCTACTCAGTAACTAGATTGAGAGTTTGGAATAACCATTGCAGAAGACTCTATAAAACCTAATGACTGATTAGAGATAAGAACAGTAAACAGAACTATCATTTATTAGCGGAGTGTTTAGATTGACTCTGAGAAACGCACTCATATGACCTTATGCAGTTGCGAGTGCCGTAAAACACTTACCAAAAAAATAAAAATAATATAAATATAAATAAATCTGTAAAAATTGAGAGATGAGAAGTCCTGTCTACACGATCAGCATCTAAACATAGACAACTGGTGCCTTGTATATAAATGAATTGTCAAAGGTTTCAGTCAACACTCTAGGCAGCCCGAAAAAATTGAATAATATTATTGCCTGCACCTGTGGATGCTGGTGGTGGTGGTGGTTGGTTGGGGGAGGAGGGGGTCCTCTCCTGTTAAACTCCGAGGAATTAGTTCCAGTCCTGTGTCTTCTTTGTTTGTGTGCATTGTGCAGCAGGAGAAGCAAAACAAAACAAACCATCCAAACCAAACATGTGATGTGTTTGATTTTACTTGTTCCACTCTGCTCTGCTTTTGAGATTTGAGACTTTTTGTTGAATGAGAGTCGTCTTTGTGATTGCTGACTTGATGTTTCTTCCCCCCCCATTCTGTTTTTCTTTGAAATTGCTGACTAGATGCGTATTTTTTGCTGTTTTGTTAATCTTTGTCCCCCTAACTAGATTATTTTGACTTTGTTTGTCTTTATGCAGCCAGCTAGATGCTCTTTTGGTTTAGTAGTTTATCTTTGTGATCGCTGACTAGATTTTTTCCCCTGATTTTGAATTTTTTTTTTCCCTGCGTGCATTTCTCGCCTTTTGGCTTTGAACTTTGACCTGCGTGTGCTGAGACTGCATCTGCCATGTGTTTGTCCCTCCGCCCTCACCACAGTTCCCGCTTCACAGCGCCGCCCTTTGACCTCTCAACCTTTGCGTCTGCTCAATTTCATTTTTCCCGCCTTCTGGCGTGGTCAGTTTCCCCACCCCCTTTGACAGTTGGGAATTAACAAACTATTTCTTTTGTTTCTTGCTTGCTGTGGAGTGTTGCAAGCCTGATACATTGTTGGGCGTTTTTTGGTTGGTTTTGTTAGGCAAAGGCCTTGGGCATTGTTTGCCTTGATCAGTGATTTTTCAGATGCGTTCTTTTGTATGAACGTACTACATTTATTTGAGGTTTAGTGTTCATTATCCGTCTGAATTTGATTTCCTTTTTTAAAAAAAAAATCCCTTTTTTTTTGGTGCAAAAAAGTGATAATTGTAATAATTTTAATACAATTACAAAAAGCAGCTTGAAAAGCCTATTCAAATGAGAAAGAAAGATTCAGATCTAATCAAGCGCTGCTTTCTTTTCCATCAGTAATTGTAAAATTAAGTGTAAAAAAAACAACTACCCATTACTACTCTGTTACTGGGTTTTATAGGATTAAGATTTCCATGCGCTTTTATTCTGTTATTTATTTATCTTTTAGTAAGATTTGTTTAAAAGAATTTTTTTTCTTTTTCATTAAAAAAAAAAGAAGTAGGGATGATCTTAGTGCTTGTGAAAATTAATTGAGAAAAGTGTCAAAGGGGGGCTATTGACAGGCGTACCCATGAGCTGACTCGGTCCTCCCCTGTCTGTCGTTCCAGTGTTGGGAAAGGAGGAAAATCGTGGCAGATGCTGTCTCAGCAGCCATCCAGCAACCTAAGTCGCCTGAGCCAGCGACCAACGTTGCCACCTTACGCCGTCTGATTGGTCTACATCTGTGTGTGTCGTGTGCCGTCGTGTGTGTCAGGGTACTCAACGTTCCACTTTTTTGTTTTGTTTTGGTTGTTTCTGGGTTGTTGTTTTTTTTTATGGGGATGATGGCTTTTATTGTCATGTGGTTATCTCCCCTTAGTGTCTGTTCCCCTCCTTGTATTTAGATACCGTCCCATCCGTCCTTCATTTGGGACATTTCTACCTCAAGAGTTGTACGAGCTTCAAATGTCGTATCAAGTATTTAGATTTTGGAAATTGGATTATGAGGGTTGAAAATATTTCCATGACGTTGATTAAGCTGAGTGTGACTTTCTCTGACTCCCTCACCCTCGTCAACTCCATGAATGCTTCCAGTGGTGGTGGTGGTGGTGGTTGTGGTGGCGGTTATTGGGAGTGGATTTTGAGTTGACTATTTAAAAAATTTGTTTTTGAAATGTTGATTTGTCTAATCGGTCCTGCTGTGTTAGAACCTCTTTCTCTGAAGCCAGTGCACCCCTGAACACCACACAAGGCAGGTTTGCAAAGTTGTTCCAAGGTGTTGAGCTGAGCCCCTGGTTCTGTTGGCTGGTGTATAGTGTGGATGGCTCTGGTTCAAATCTCCGGCTAGACATACTTAGACTGTGAGAGTAGCAACACCCTCCCCGTATTCATTATATTTACTGGTTTAAAAAACAAACAAATTGAGTTCTTGGCTGTTTGCCTCCTCAAAGTTTTTACCTTACCTGAGATATAGTTTTAAAATTGTTAAACACGTTTAGGAACAGAAGCAAGACAGACCAGGTTAGACATAGCTATATATTATATTGCTTGATTTGAGACCTGTAGAAGTTTTCTTCTCCTTTGTTTGCTGTTCTTCATGGGTGTTTAGAGGGTGCCACTGATAGGTGTTACTTCTTTTCCTCCCCCCTGTTGTTTTTATACCTTTTTGTTGTTTTCATGCTTGTCCTGTTATTGTTATAGAATGGTCGTTTATTGCACTGATGTTTTCTGTCCATTCTTCCTTTCCAACATGAACGTCTGGTTTTCCATTGTTGACAAAACCTTATTACTAACACTTTTTTTCAAAAACTTTCCACGTCTGCAAATCATCACCAGGTTCGGTCTGGAGGCGGCAATGCTCGCAGACGCAGGACTGGAAGGAAACCACAACATCCTGGACATGCCCAGTGGGTTTGGCGCCTTTTACGACGACTTCGACCCTGAGGCGCTGCTCGCTAGCCATCAGGGCAGTCCCGAGTTCCTTCTCCATGACCAGGACATCGCGCTCAAGCGGTTCCCAGCTCACCTGGGGATGCACTGGGCGATCGACGCCGCTCTAGCCGTGAGGGCCAACACTGAGGAGTTCCCCAGAGGGCTCAATACAGACCATATCTCCAGGGTGGTTATCAGGGCTCCGAAGTGAGTAGGTTTGATGATATTTCTTTCTCTGTCTCTCTCTCTCTCTCTCTCTCTCTCTCTGTGTGTGTG